AAATAATATTTATTTATTTTTATTATTTTTGTACAAATTCAAGTGCCAAATCGTTATTCGATCGTTTTAATGCATGAATGACTGTTTAATTAGCTCACTGACTGACTGACTGACAGAATGATTAATAAACTCGATAATTAAGTGACTGCAATAATGTTGACTGTTTTATTGATTGATTGACTGACTGATTTATAGAGTTACTGACAGATGGATTGATGTTTAGACTTTGCATTACGTGCTATAGATACTTTATGTGTGAGACGGAATAACTAAAATAATTATAATAAGAATAATTAAAACGTTGATATATGTAAATAGATGATAAAATTTGTATAATAATTGAATCATTTTCGTTTGTATAATAATTTTCATTTTGATTATATATTTTGATTTTGATTATATATTATATCTAGTTGTATATATAATATATTTATTTTATTTTCTACATAGCATATTCCATTGAATTCCATCTCTTAAACACATCATCAATCCTTTGACCTATTTTCTTCTTCTTAGCAAATATATATGTATGCATAGTTTTTTTTTCTTTTTATATTTTCTCAACTTCGTCTCTCAAGTCAAATCCTTTGCCATCGATAATCTATAATAAGCTGTTTCCTTGGCCTTTGGCCTTTAACTTTTCCGTTACAGCTTTGGCTTTTCCTGTGACATTCGGCTCCCTCGCCTCGCCCTCTCCATTGCGCTGCTTCCGTTAGCTTCGCATCACGTGTCAGGTAAAATTGCGGGATGCGCAACACTCCTTCATTAAGTTAATAACAGTTTCTCTCTTTCGACAGAGTACAAAGTGAAATTGCGAAAATCCGTTTCACACTCACACACACACACACACACATTTTTTTCTCTTTCCCGTTGGCGCCTTCTTCGTTGCCCTATTCCTTAACATCCAACCACCAACATCCCCACCCTCTCCCCTCTTCCTCTTCCCACACTCTCTTTGGCCGAGCGCTTGCCTTTTGATGCTGCAACGGGTTTTGTTTGGTTTTGAATTTCAGCAGTGAGAGATAGATAGAGAGAGAGAGAGAGAGAGAATGGAGAAAGGAGGGGAGGGGAGAGCAGAGGCATTGCTTGTCGGATTGTGTTTTACATCTTGATTATCTTCCGCTTGTTTGTGCTATATAAACACTCACCCACCCACACACACACTCACACTCACACACACAGAGCTTATAAACCAGGCCAACCCCCGCTGCGAGTGGGCTTTAAATGTAAAATATTTCTATTCAAATCCATTCAAGGATAAGAAGTCAATCAGTCTACAAAGTGCAAAGGATTTTGCACTTTCTCAAATTCAAATTCAAATTCTGTTCGAAATSCTCAGTGTAACGCACAGTGGTAAAAAACCCTGAATAATTTGTCAATTCTTTTCAACTGAATTAATGACTCTACTTATATATTATCTTGCCAATTTTATGGTTTCATACATGTTATAAGTACTATAGCACCCTGCGAATGTGCAGTTTACTGAAATATATTTATATTTGTTATTAGATTCGCGTTACTAAAAGATATACGAATATATTTAATAGGATGATATATAAATTAAATTATCATTTAATTAATTATTAAAATTTTTGTATTTCAATTTTTTATTTTTGTTATTTTTTAAATATTTTGAGTGTCATAAACTTTTCGCAATTTTATACAAATTTTGCTACTTCTCTATTTCCAACAATATGCCACACCCTGTGTAGACCCAGTACTACACCCTGTTTACACATGGTGATTTTCTCAAATTTGCAGTTTCCACTTTATTCGAAATGTTCCACTGTGCATAGCTCTCCGTTCCATTCCGTTTCGTAGCGCCTGCACCAACCACAAGCCAAGCAGCCAAGCAGCCAAGCAGCTGGCATGCCCAGACTTAAACATAATCCATCAGCCACCCCAAGACGTTCCGCAAAAGGCAACAAGCTTGCAAATTGAAACTGTCAATCCTCCATCTCTGTCGCCATCTCGCCTTCAGCTCCTCCTCCTCTTCAGCTCAGTGGCAAGCGCGAAGGCGTCTGATGGCACGTGGCGACACGGCAAGGGTCTGGACACAAAGAAACCAAACGGCAGCAGCTGGAACTGGAACTGGAGCTGTCGCTGTGGCTGTGGCTGTGCCTGTGGCTCTGGCTGATGCTGTAGCTGGAGCATAAACTTCAACACCATCGCCATCACCTATCCATTCTTCAATTACCCTTTCGGCTGGGACGCCGGTCACATTATCGTAATCGCATCCTAATTGCGAGAAAATTACGCCCACGTGCGGCCTGTAACCTGATCAGCATCAAAGGAGTCGACACAATGCCGCTCCAGCAGCCACGCCAGCCAAATCGATAAATTTTGAAATGGTTATCGTGTAAATGTGAGATGCGGCAGACGCGAATGCATAATTAGGCAATCAATCTATCAATATATATGCATATTTGTATATGTACATCTATATATAAAGATAATATGAGTATATTCTTTTGGATGCTAATGCAATGAAATTATCGGTTAGCTGCTCATCGATAAAAATCGATAGCTTTGAATATATACATCCTATATTTTTAATCGAAATAATCTTTTGATATGTAAATGTATTGCTTACCAAATATTTCCAAAAATAATCAATTATTCTACATGCAGAAAAACTAAATACTAATAAAATAAGTAGAGTTGATAATAAAAACTCGAAACACATTTAACTATTTGTGCAAAAAAGTACATATATAAATAATTACATATAAATTTGCTCTATTTACGATTACTTAGGCCATCGGTTCAGGGGCCTCTTCTGCGAATAGGAAGCGCCAGATACAGCCGGCCGCAGCAGCGGCTGCCGCATGGGCTACTAAATATGGCCAGATAATTCCCCAACTGCCGTTGACAGCTGCGGCCGCGAAAGTACGGAAGAAATTGAGATGACATCCGGTAGTTGGGTACTATGGATATTTGAAAAAATGTTATATAAGTAAATAAGTAAAAATATACGTAAATGTTTATATAAGAACATACGAATAACAGAATATTTATAATAATAGAGTATATGAGAGTATGCTATGAATATAATAGCATAAGTGTATAAGGCTATAAGAGTATAGGAGTATACGAGTAAAAGGATATAAGAAGATAAGACTGCATGAGTATACGAATAAACAATTACAAGGGTAAATGAGGATAATAGAATAGGAGTATAAGGCTATAAGAGTATAGGATTATCGAGTCTAAGAGAGTATGGGACTAAATGAGTATAAGGATGAGTATGACATTACAAGTGTATAAAGATCATTGAAGCTATATACTATGATACTATATAGTTCGCGTATAACTAAGCTTGCTACAGACTCGAATATGAAATATGTATGATTGGAATATGATTAGAATACGAACCGTAGCGAACGATAGTCCTGTAAATATGAATCCGATGCGAAGCGATAGAGTTTCGTATGCTCCCTCGCTGCGAGTATCCCAAGCAGCACAATAGGCTAATAGCAGAAAGAATGTGGCTAGCAATTCGATGGACAAAACATTCACTTTGTCATCCATGCCCGATAGACATAGAGACTTTGAGGTTTGTAGAACGGCGTAAGTCAGCGCAATGCCGGCCATGGCGCCAAGGAGCTGGGCGAGCATATACCAAAGCATCAATTGCCACTCCATAATGCCAACAATTGTTGCAGTACCACTGACAGCGGGATTCAGATGAGCGCCGCTTAGCATGGCAAATATATGGATAGCCGTCAAATAGGCCAGGCCCCAGGCAAAGGAACTCTGTGTGCTGTGCGTATCATATCCACCACCACTTTTCGCATAACAACAGCCAAGTGTCAAAACAAGTGCCGTTCCAGTAAATTCAGCTAATAGCCTTTTGGCCAGTTCTTTATCAAACGCAAAATTTCCCATTACTTTAATTTGAACGAAAAAAAAAACAAACAAAAGTAAAGCGAAACGAAAAATAGAAATAATAAATATTATCGAGATCTAACTACAATGAACAAATAAATTTAACTGAGCTCTCTCACATTTTCCCCGAACGTAAGTCAAAACTGGCCTACTTCAACTTGACATAATTTTTACCAAATTACGATAAACAAAAAAGCAAAAAAAAATCTCCTTCGAGTAACTGATACTTCAATAATTATTCGCACACACAGACATACGCACCACTGCAGTGGCTGCTTACTATGGAAAATGAATTGTTCAATCAATTTTCTATAAGTCTATATTTATCAAGTCTATATTTACGTTCATACATACGGACGGACAGGGCTAAATCGACTCAGCTCGTCGCTCTTGTGGGGTCTGCCACGCCTCCTTCTGACTGTTACATACGTTTAACAAAACCATTATGCCCTGATTTCCCATTTTCAATGGGTTCAGGGTATAACAAACTTAAAAAAAAATAATAATGGAAAAAGTTCGATTTTCTATATTAAGTCTAAATGAGCGCGAATGAAAAGGGTTTTTGTCTAAGCTAAACGTAAGATTTGATTTTAGTTTGGCGCCAACAACTTTCATTAACAGTGCCAAATGAGTAAATTCTGAGAGATGAGCCGATATCGCCAATAATTTGCAGATGTTCGAGACTATCGAATTTAAATTTAAATTCCAATGGCGGGTTATGTATCGGGGTGTATTCCAATTTTATCGATGCTCCATTCATTTTGGCACTATATAATTATTCAATTTTGTATTTAAATAAATGAAAACTAGAAAGAAATAGTCGAAATAGTCATCATCTTTTCAATTTATTTTTTGATTGTGTGTGTGAATATTTTATGCTTACAGCACCATAATGAGTACAACATTTATTGGTATTGGAGATGAGTCCAAAATTCGATAAGCTATTCAACAAACCGCCAACACCCACTACATTCAAATGTCTGCAACTGAGGCAAAGCTTTAAAATTGCAATTGAAAGGTCATCGAACCCGATCAAAACAACATTACGTGATTACAGACTTGGGTTTTTAATTAAATACTTGTTTTAACAGTAATTCTTTTATAGGCGTAGATATATATGCTAGGTATAGTCATAGACATACACTGACACGCGTTTTACATAATATAAGTTTATATAATAGAATTTATACATAGTTTTACACATAAAATTATCATGTATGTGTGAGCGAGTAGCTCGCCACATTTACATATTCTAGTTGCACAGCAAGAGGTAAATATGTTTGCGAACGTGCCACATGAGAGATTTTGGCCACATTTGGGTTAACATCTTTGCCAAAAATATAAGTAGATTGTTTATGAATTACCGTATGATGCGATGCGATGATACATGGTCAAAGATTACAATGTGTGCATGAGAATGAGAAAGTAATATTGGATGACTTATTACATTTGAAATGTTTTTCTTTTTCTTTTTTTTTCGACAACGGTTAGAAATACAAATACAAAATTATAATATACAAATACATAAATAAGAGAATTATAGATTAGATGGGGTTGGTCGCCTCATGGAGTCGGCCTGCTCAGTCCGAACAGCTGCTTGGGCTTGACTTGGAATGTGGGCAGCAGCTGCCAGAGCCTGTGCGGAAGATGAGATGATGGGCGTGAGGCGGGCGTTTGATTTCTTTTACAGAATGGGCTTAGTTTATAAGGTTTYCATAACATTTAATTTAATTTAGACGTTAATTTTGCGCCTTACATTCTAATTTAAAATGTTAACATTTAATTATATATAGCATTACTGTTTGTTTGTTTCTTTGTTTTAATTTTATACAGTTGTTTTCTTGTTATATGTATATAATATATATATATAGATA